ATCTGTCAATTAAGTCTAGAAATTTTTTGGTGGAGTTTTTTGGATCTTCAATGTAGAGTATCACATCATCAGCAAATAATGATAGCTTAACTTCTTCCTTTCCTATCTTTATTGCTTTAATTTCTTTCTCTTGTCTAATTGCTGTGGCTAATGTTTCCAGAACTATATTGAAGAGAAGTGGCGATAGTGGGCATCCTTGTCTTGTTCCTGATTTTAACATGAAGGTTTTCAGTTTTTGGCCATTCAATATGATGTTGGCTGATGGTTTTTCATAAATAGCCTTTATTAAATTGAGGTATAGACCATCTATTCCAATTTTTTGCAGGGTTTTTATCATGAATGGGTGTTGAATTTTATCAAATGCTTTTTCTGCATCTATTGAGAGGATCATATGGTTTTTGTCCTTGACTTTGTTAATATAATGTATTACATTCACTGACTTTCGTATGTTGAACCACCCTTGCATCTCTGGAATAAATCCGACTTGGTCATGATGGATGATCTTCTTAATAATCCTCTGTATTCTGTTTGCTAGTATCTTATTAAGGATTTTTGCATCTATATTCATTAAGGAGATTGGTCTGTAGTTCTCCTTTTTGGTTGTATCTTTCTCTGGTTTGGGAATCAGAGTGATACTTGCTTCCAGGAATGAATTTGGAAGTATAGCTTCTCTTTCAATTTCATTGAAAAGTTTGAAGAGTAATGGTAGTAGTTCTTCTCTAAATGTCTTGTAAAATTCAGCAGTGAATCCATCAGGGCCTGGGCTTTTCTTTGTTGGTAAGTTTTTAATTACATTTTCAATTTCACTGATTGTGATTGGGGTGTTTAAAATGTTTTTATCTTCTTCGTTCAACTTTGGTAATTCATAAGTATCTAGAAATCTGTCCATTTCTTCTGTGTTTTCCATTTTATTAGAGTACAGGTTCTCAAAGTAGGTGTTCATGATCCTCTGGATTTCTTTCGGATCTGTTGTGACTTCGCCTTTTTCATTCCTAATTGCATGGATCTGAGCCTTTTCTTTCCTTTTTTTGATAAGATTAGCTAAGGGTTTGTCAATTTTATTTATTCTTTCAAAAAACCAGCTCTTTGTTTCATTTATTTTTTGTATCGTTTTCTTAATTTCAATTGCATTGATTTCTGCTCGGATCTTTATAATTTCCTCTCTTGTTCGAGCTTTGGGTTTTTCTTGCTCTTGTTTTTCTAGGAGTCTAAGTTTCATCGTTAAGTTGTTTATTTGAGCCCGCTCTGTTTTCCTAGTGTGGGCATTCAATGTTATGAATTTTCCACGTAGAACTGCTTTCATTGTGTCCCAAAGATTCCTGTATGTTGTATTGGCATTCTCATTTATTTGTAAAAACTGTCTAATTTCTTCTTTAATTTCCTCTGTAATCCATTGATTGTTTAGGAGAGTGTTGTTCAGTTTCCATGTGCTTGTGAAGTTTCTATAGTTTCTTGTGCTATTGATGTCTAGTTTGATTGCACTATGATCTGATAATAAACAGGGGATGACTTCAATTTTTTTGCATTTATTTAGACCTGTTTTGTGAGCCAGTATGTGGTCTATTTTGGAGAATGATCCATGTGCAGCCGAAAAGAATGTATATTCTGGTTTTTGGGGGTGGAATACTCTATAAACATCTATTAAGTCCATGTGTTCCAAAGCTTGGTTCAGTTCTATTATTTCATTGTTGATTTTCTGCCTAGTAGATCTGTCAATTTGTGATAGTGGGGTATTTAAATCCCCCACTACAATTGTATTAGTGCTTATTTGGTTTTTCATGTTACTTAATATTTGTTTTATATAGTTGGGGGCATTTATATTTGGTGCATATATGTTTATGATTGTCAGCTCTTCCTCTTGAATTGTTCCCTTTACAAGGATGTAGTGTCCTTCTTTGTCTCTCTTAATGAGTTTTGGTTTGAAATTTACTTTATCTGAGAATAAGATTGCTACCCCTGCTTTTTTCTGGACTCCTGACGCATGGAGAATTGTTTTCCATCCTTTCACTTTCAGTCTATGGACTTCCTTTTGCACTAGGTGTGTTTCTTGTATACAACATATTGTTGGATTTTGCTTCTTAATCCATTCTGCCAATCTGTTTCTCTTGATTGGTGAATTGAGGCCATTAACATTGATGGTTACAACTGATATATTTTGACTTATTCTTGTCATGTTTTTGTCCATTTGTTGACTCTTTTTACTTTTTCTCCCATCTCCTTTTAGTTTCTTGCCTTGCCTATTTGATTTGGTCTGTTGGGCCTCATGTTATTGTGAATTTCGTTGTCCTTTTCTAGGATATTGTTTAGAATTCCTTGCAGTGCTGGTTTGGTGTTCATGAAATTTCTCAGGTGCTCTTTGTCGTGGAAGTATTTTATTTCCCCATCTATTTTGAAAGAGAGTTTTGCAGGATACAAAAGTCTAGGTTGGAGATTCTTTTCTTTTAGGACTTGGAATACCTCACTCCAGGCTCTCCTTGACCTAAGGGTTTGTGTTGAAAAGTCTGCTGTGATTCTAATGGGCTTCCCTTTGCATGTGATTTGTTTCTTTTCTCTTACTGCTTGTAGTATTTTGTTTTTCTGTTGGATTTCTGGAATCTTGATTATTATATGTCTAGGTGTAGATTTTTTTTGATCGTGGCTAGTTGGGGTTCTATATGCCTCACTTATCTGTATGTCTAATTCTTCCCTTCTGTTTGGGAAGTTTTCTGTCATTAATTCTGTGAAGAGCTTTTTTATATCATTTGTGTTTTCTCCTGTTTTTTCATGAATTCCTATCAGTCTTATGTTATTTTTCTTTGTATCGTCTAGGAGTTGTTGGATTGATTTCTCATGATCCCTTACTGTTTTTAATAGACCTCTTTTTTCACGGTCACTGACTGCTATCCTATCTTCTATATCTGAAATTCTATCTTCGCAATCTTTTATTCTGTTTCGTACACTTTCAATAGAGTTTTTAATCTCCTGGATATCTGTTTGAATCTGTTTTATGGATTCCATTTCTTTCCTCTGTTGGGCATTCATTGTTTCCATGTCTTTCTTATGCTGAGTCTTCATGGCTTCTATCACAGTCTTGAGCTCATCTATTTTTTTCTCAGTTTCTGCTCTAGAGTCTCGAATCATGACTTCTATTTTGCTCATCATCTCTCTGGCTAGCTGGGAAATTATTTCTGATTTGAATTTTTCTAGAGCCTGATTGATCAATTTTGTTACCTCCTGTGCTATGGGTCCAGGGAGTCCTGTTGGTTCACTATCAGACTTTTCATCCTCATTTGTCCTACTATTTGCTATTGGTGAACTGGATATTTGTTTTTGTGTCTTGCTTAAGTGTTTTCTCATTTTTATTTTTATTGTTGGGTTGTCCTTCTTTAATTTCTGGGTATTACTTAAATCTTCCTAATATAGTTGCGTTTTAGCTTTTGAGTTTCTAATGACTCATAGACATTCTCGTTTTCATAATATCAGAGAAAACAACTCTTTAAATCAATCACCACTCTTTGTCCCAATTGATACATTCAGCAGCCCAATAGGATCAGGCACAGCTTGCCAACTGACCACTTATGGTAGTCATTAATGTATCACCTTTAACTCATGTGAATTAAATTAATTTTAAGAAGCAGCCCATAGTATGTTTGCAGTGAATATGCTTTTCAATATAGCATCTTTACCATTTAGGATGGGGGTTAGACTTAGAATGAGAGGATTAGATAAGTGAAAGATTTAGAGCAGGGTTGAAGTGAATCCAGAAGTTGTAGAATTACCTTACTATCTTTACAAAGCTATTAAGTTCAGGGGGGATAGAGAGAGTGCAGGAATAAGGACAAGAATATATCCCCTTAAAAATAACAGGCGCTTGCCTTCCCTTGAAGGTACAGAGCCATGAGTGAGGTAAAATGACTGGAGAAAAGAACATAAAGAGAAACCCCTCCTAAAAACAAAAAATAATAAAAGAAGAAGTCTGAGTTAGGGCAGGAGCCGGAATAAAAAGGGAGATGAGGGACAATATGGTGGAGCAAGAGACTGAGTTGGAGAGAGAGGACAGAAAAAATAAAGAAATTTTAGGGTGGAATGAGGAAAAGAAAAAAGAGAGAGAGAGAAAAAAAAAAGAATTTGAAGGGCCTGTTTCAGACTGTCTCTGTTCTCATATTATACCACATGTACAGCCATATGCAGAACCGAATCTCCTGCTCTCAGCTAGCCAATGGCAGTTCCCCACGACTGAGACTGAACACAGTCTACAAGGCCTAACTTGAGTTTCCCTACCCTCAGGGTTGAACTCCACTCAGTTCTATTACAGGTTTCCCCTGCCCTTTCTTTATAGATGTTCAAAGTTGGGAGCTCAGAAAACTACCCTTCATGAGAACCTATGCCTCTGCAGAGTTGGTCTAAGGACTGGCCCAATCAGGAGGTTTGAGAACGGTGGGGGGGAGGTCGTGGGGGTGTTTCAAGGGCGCCCACGCGGCTACCTTCCTTACTGGGTCTGTTGTCGCACAGTCCGGGAGGTCGCGCACCTGCCGGGTGATCTCAGGCAGGCAGGCAGCTGAAGAGACCCCCTCCGGGGTCTTTGGGTCCTTGCTGGGTCTGTGTCGCGCAGTCTGGGAGGTCACGTACCCTCCGGGGTCCTCATTTCTTAAATATTCCTCTGTTTCCCAATAATGCCACAGGCTAGGTCCAGGCATTTGAAGGACATTTAGAATCTAAACCATAACATAACTGACTGCTAGCCCCGTGGCAGCACAAACTTTATTGTCTGAAATTACTGTGTCTGTGGTAATTTGCTATGGGAGCTGTGGGGAGCTGAGGCAGACAACATGGATCCTGTGGCTGGGGTCCAGCCTCTCTCAGGCCTCTGCTGCCCAGCTGGATGAAGAATGTTAGACTCCATGCAACCTTGTTACTGCAGCTGGTGCCCTGCACTGGCTGTCATTCAGGGCCTAGGCTGCCTCCATCCACTGGCACCTCTGCCTCACCTGGCCTGGACTATGGGAATTCAGTGGCCTTAGTCAGCATCCGGTTCCTCACCTCTGCTGCAGCAGCTCAGACCTCCTGGCGCCTCAGCCTGGGATGCCCTGGTTGGCAGGAAGTGCTGGGCCTGGATCCCGAAGCTGCAGCTGCTCCGTGTGTGACCTTGAGCAGCTGCAGTCTCTCTTTTGTCAGTGACCCCAACTGTGCCCATGTTGGACAGCACAGCAACACCCTCTGGGTGCTGGGACAGCAAGCCCTGTGGGGCTAAGACTGTATTTGGGATGGTTCCTGGTAGGGTGGCACTGGGGTTCTCTGAGTGTGGCTGCTTGCTCTATTCCTTTAGGAGAGGAGGTCAGGTCAGAGCCTAGTGAGGAGTCAGTTGTGTCTTTGCTTCCCCTGAGAGTGGGGTGGAGACACAGGGAGAAGAGACTGTCATAGAAGCAGGAGCCCAAGGCCCGGGCAGGCTTTGGAGCCAGTGACTTCAGACAGCTCTGAGCCCCAGCTCCCTCCTCACAAGGCTCAGAAGGATCAGAAGTTGAGGGTCATGGGAGACTGTCCCTTTGGATCTGCACATGGCTTTAAGACAGCCCTGCCGAGGAACAATTTCTCGAACACAGAAAACAGTGTGCAGAGTTTCCAGTCAGACATGGCTAGTGAGGTTTCTTGGGTCCTAAGGAGCTTGGGCTAGCACAGGTGGGCATTCTTGCAAACATTCACTCAGAGTAGGGTCATGATAGATGCGACAGCAACGGCCCAGAGCACTGAGCACTCACAGGGCTGGAAGCCCCTCTGTGAAATCTGTATGAGGCTGGCATGAGGGTTGAGCTGGAGGAAATGGGGTTCCTGGAGGGGAGGTTATGAAGCTGCTGAGGGGTGGGCCTATGATTTCAGCCCAGGCAGTCTGACCTCCGAGCTGTGTATCAGTGGGGGCTGTGTGTGAGTCAGTGTATGCATGTGTGAAAATACAGGCAACAGAAAGCAGAATAATTGGCTTCAACATGATAGAAGTTTATCTCCCTCCAAGGTAAGCAGATCCTGAGGTAGGCAGTGCAGAGCCAGTATTTGCCTTCTGGTCATTGGTGGTTAGGGTCCTTCCTCCATGTTGCCTTGTCATGCTCAGTGTGTTGCCTCATGGGAGGCAGGGAGGCCAGCAGGGAGGAGTAATAAGATACCACCTTCACCCAATGACTTTGTTCCCTAACCCCCCATCCTCCAGGCACTGAGGCTTTATTGATAAGGAAATGGAGAGAGTGGACAAATGGAGGCCACACATTGCATGGCGGAATGGACTTGGCAGACAGGAAAGGACTTTGAAAGGTCCAAAGCCAACAAAGTTGAGCCAGTGGGAATCTAGGAGTCCTTTAGGCCTCTGTCCACACTGCTCAAATAGGGAAACTGAGGCCCAGTCAGTGGCTGAGCTGTGGCCCAGGCTGAGCTTGTCTTCCTCTCATCCCAGTGCTGTGTTCTGTCACCTGCTGCTGGTGAAGCAGAGCTTGGTACAGTCAAGGAGGCAGAATGCCCAGCAGCCAGTGGACCAGCCCAGTAGAAGAGATGCAGGCAGGGCAGGAGCTACAGGCCCTTTGTGCCCCTCGCCTGTATGGAGCTGCCTGTCACATGCCCATACTCCCCCGACACCCACCAGGCTGGGGGAAGGGTAGAGTTCAAAGGGCAGAATGAGGCTATGGGATTACCTTCCTCCTCCCCTTTCTGCCCTTGTTCCTCATTAGCTCCTGCTCTCCCCTTGCTCCACCTGCCCCTGCAGCTTGTCCCCAAACTGGGCACAGTGGTTTATCCTGTGATCCCAGCTACTCAGGCTGAGGCAGGATGATTACATGTTTGAGCCCAGGCTGGGAAACTTAGGGAGACTGTTGAAAGAAAACAACAGTACCCCCAAAGCCTTGTTCCTCCAGACCAGGGATGAGAGTGCTGCCACTTGACCTAAATGACAGCTGAGTTTGGAGGAATTTCACACTGGGAAGTTAAGGCTGAAGGTGGGATTCCCAGGCATACAGTGTCATCTCTGCCTGAGGCTGAGCTGGTGGACACTCCTGGAGGTCAGAGGTTCTAGGGACGCAGGTCAAAGGAGGCCCAGAGTTGGCTGGATCATGAAAGACACTTCAAATTTATTCTCTGAAGCTGGTGATGGGGTAAGGGGAAGCACTGGACAGAGTGCTGGCCTGGTCAGGTGTGAGGTGTCTTCAGGCCCCCACTGCCAAAAGGCTAGTGAGGAGGCTGAGTAGGAGGGCTGTGCTCACATTTTGGGGGCACTTTGGGAGGGCATTTGACCCATTGGCCTGGGGATGACCATCCCTCTCACCCTGGGGATGGCCAGCCCTGCTCTCCTGGGGACCTCCTGCTTTGCCATTCAGTGGGTGCTGCCAGGGTGGGACATTGCACATGGAAGATTGGCAGCAGGTTTCAGTCATCTGGGTCCCCTCCACGGTCTTGATGATGGGTTGGCAGGAGTCTGTGCACCACATGGAATAGGTGGTCAGGAGACCAGAATCTGGGGGGAGATGGAGACAGGTGTTGAGACAGGTTGGGTCACAGAGGGGAGCTGCTAGGCACATGTGTACCGGGCTACATCCACTCACCTGTGTTGCCATGGGTAACAAGCATGATGCAGGAAGCCTGACTGCCGGAGCAGCTCTGCATCTGGTCGCAGCTCTCCCCATAGTGTAGCAAGGGGCAGGCATAGCACCGCAGTGCTGTGGGGTGAGGCCAGGCTGGGGTCAGGTCAAGGACAACCCTCAGTGCCTTCCTTTCCAGGTCCCCATTTGCCTGCCTTGTTAGATGTCCTCAAACCCTACCCTGTAGGACCCTATGCTGGGTGTTTCTGGAGGAAGTAGAAAGAACAGGGCCACAGAGGGAACTTTCTGCTCATTTCTTGTCACTTGCTCGGTGGCCCTGTCTAAGCCCCCTCCTGTGGGCAGTGAAGACCCAGAAAGGAGTCTGACCAAGCGTTGCAGATGAGGACCCAAGGTAATACCATGCAGGTTGGGAGCAGGCTGGGGCCAAGTTTGGCCAAGGGAGAGCCCGCAGGGTGAGGGAATGGGGAGGGGGTGTGGGGCAGGCCATATGGTCTGGGTGCTAGTAGATCTGCTTCATCTACTGAAGCAGAGCAGAAAGCCCAGCAGCGTGGGGATGGGTGGGTGGGTACCTCTATCTCTGCTGCCGGCAATCATGTTGGTTTCCTCCTCTTCTTCCTCCTCCTCATCATAGCCATAGCTCTCCGGCTCCCTGTCATCATCCTCCTCCTCCTGCACCTGCCGACTGCCTGGCCATGCAGGGACATGTGTAAACTTCAGCTACCCAAATACAGAGGGCATTTGTTCAGTGCTGAGTGCCAAGCCTTCTACTCCTTTGTCCACCTTTGTCTCTAAGGCCTGCCCATTTCACAGATGGAGAAACCGAGGCCAGGAGAGGGCAGGGTTCCCGAATGCCTTGCAGTGTTGGAAAGGCTAAGTCTGAGATTGGGGGCCACAGTGATGTTAGGGACCCAGGACAGCCTCGCCCACCACCCTGGGCCTGGGGACTCCAGCCTCATTCTCTCCTTCCCAGAACCCATCCCTTGTCCCAGGCTTGGGGTCTCTGGAGGTTCTTGTGGGCCAGGGCTGTACCACCAGAGGGTCATTGGCACCCCGCACCTGGCTGCCCATACAGTAGCAGGGCCAGGACCACAGCTCCCAGTGCCTTCATCCTGCAGGACGGTGCTGTCCACTCACACGGTCCTCACTTGGTGCCCTGGATCTGCGTCAGTGGGATGAAAGGTATTGCTGGGGGCTTCCCGTGGCCCCCACCGACTCCATTCTCAAACAATGGGTCTCACATTGGTTCCCAGCTGCAGGCACTAGGCCAGGGACACTTTCCCTCCAGGGGCAAGAGGGGAAGGAGAAGTCATTGTGTCTGGCTTAGGGCATCCTGTCCACCTGTGCTGTCCCTACTGCATGATGGAGTCTTTGTAAGGTGAGCACTAGCCTCAGGAGCCACCTGGCCCTATCCTGACTTCCTGGCTCTTGGGCTTTCCTGCCTCAATCCACAGTCCCGGCATACCTGGGCAAAATGTGAAACAAGAGTTTCTGACTTCTACGGGTCAGAAGCTTGGGCCTATGCTGATTCAGTACCCAATGGCCCTGACTGTCCCCTCCCCTGGGAACCCTGGCTGTGTAGCCGCAGGGGCTCAGATCCCAGACCCCATTTGCCCTTCAGGGGCCAGGCGTCCTCCCCTTCAGAGGATCTCACTTTCATTTCATCCCCTGCCCAGGTATGCTGGGACAGGAGCAGTTTGTTGAGAAGGAGATGGCTTGGGAGAGATGTGGCTTAGCAGGCACTAATGGGAGGGTGGATTAATGGATACTTACTAATAGAGAAGGGTCCACAGGAGCACGGAAAGAAGCGCAAAAGTGAGTAGGGGTCCAACAGCGCTATTCAGAAGGTCCACAAGGGTGCATGCTCAGTAACAGCGTTGCTCTGAAAACTCCTGAGGTGTGGTACTCAGCAGAAGCACTTCGGGGGAGGTCCCAGGGTGACAAGCCAGGCAAGTGCTCAGGAGCAAATACCACTGAGAGCTGCTGTCTCTATACTGCTCTATTCCGCGCCCCCTTAGCTCAGGGAGGGGCTTACATATTAAACTCTAATGCAGAGACATCCTTGGCTGGCTTTGTTCTATTGTGTGACCAGCATTTTAGGGAACTGGCAGGAAGGCAGCTAGAACAGATAATGCTAGCTTGCCCAGTTCCCAGTGTCCCTCAGATAATACTTATCAGGACAGTCCAATACCTGTGCATTTAGAGTGTCCTCTTGACTTAGCAAAAGTCTTGGGGAAGGAAAAAGGGATGTTTTCAGGAATATGGTGCTAAATGGTTGTCTTCTACGCCTGTGGAAGAATGTCCATCAGCACATAGCCAATGTCCCCACCGCTATACCTACTCTCCCCACTGCCCTCCTGTCAGCATGCATGCTGGGCCCAGGGCTCTGCTGCCCTTGGCTCCCTGCAGTGTTTGCCTCTGCCCTTCCCTCTGCCTAGAATGTTATTCCTGAAAAGCCCACATAGCTGTCCCCAGCCTCATTCAGTCTCTGCTTACATGTCACTGCCCCAGAAGGGCCTCCCCCTCCATCCATCTCACACCCTGTCCTCCCTGGGCATTTGCCTCTGGTGTGATCCCAGCCCTGCAGTGGTACCCTTGTTCTGGGGAGCTTCCCCAGGTTGCCCTGTGCTCTGGGTAGGGGCTGGCTGGGAAGGAGAGAAGGTGAACCTTCTGGGAACTGTGGCAGCTTCCCTTCTTCAGCCTCCTGCTAGGAAAGGCCTCCTTCTGCCCCACCACTGTCTCCCAATATAATACAGTGAGCGGACAGCTACTTGGGGACCAGTGCAGAGGCTGGATTGGAGGTTAGGTTGATGTCAAGCTTGAGGGAGTTCCCATGCTTCATGGTTTGGGTCAGCCCGTTAACTTGCCTCAGCCTCGGTTTCCTTCACTGTCATAGGTTGGGCTGGAATTCTCTGGGGCCACCCAAAGCAGAGCTCTGAGCCCCAGCTCTTCCTTCCCTGACTCTGAGACTAACCCCTTGTCTGGCCTCACAACTTATCTAATATCAGGACTCACAGAGGACAGTGCCTGGCTGGGATGATATTTCTCTGTCTCAGCCATTGTGCATTGTCCTTCAGTTCCTCTTGGACAGTCCTTCTTGCTATCCTGCCGCCTCCTCCTCCTGGAAGTCCTAGAAGCCGAGGTCCCTTTCCAGGCCAGAGTCACTTCCAGCGGCTGCTCCCATCTGGCCCCTCCCTCTCCAGGCCTATAGGGCTCTTTGATGTGGTGCAGAAGACCCTGGGTCTCCAAGTTTCTGACAGGGAGCAGAGTACCTCCACTTGCTGCCCCACAGCTCAGGCCTGGCTTAGCTGCCTCCCTTTGAGCCCAGTTCCTCCTTTGCCTAAGTGTCAGTCAGGCTTAGGCCAGAGCTTGTGGGAATCAGGAGGGATATTTAATGGGCTAAAATTAGACTTGATGTTATTCATCCTCAACATCTCTAGGGGAGCAGTGGTGTGATCATTCTGGGGGCACACTGTCCTGCCCAGTTTCTTCTACCCCACCCACGAAAACTGCTGAGTCTGGCCCAGTGCACATAGAAGCTGGTACACAGCCAGGACAGGTTAGGTGGTCCCTGGGTGGGGACAAACCCCTGCCCCAATACCTTGATGGTAACACCTGTTTCCCTTAGCACTGCCCCTAGCCCAATATCTGAATGACCTATACCTCTCCTTCCCCAAGCACTGCACCCTCTTGAGGGGCCTCAGGGAGTCCAGGCCTCCCTCCATCCCACTGGGAGTGAGGTCAAGTCCTCAGGGTAGGGACTCATCCCCTGAGGCCCCAGGGCCAGACTTGAGGGCTGGGGGCCCCAGGGTGGATCCCAGAGGCCTCTTTAGAGCTTCCATCCTGCAGAACCTCTGACCTTGGGGTTTGACCTCCCTCGCAGTCCTCCCTCCCAGTCCTCCCTGGGCCATGTCTGTAATCATTGGCTCCCTGTCCACAGACTCTGCCTGCCTCAGGGCCCACCTTGCCTGCTCTGCCCAGCTTGGTGGGATGGCTCCGATGGGTGGCCTCGTGGACACTGTGGTCTCTTCCTGGGTCATGTGACTCTCTCTGGCAGCAGGATCCTTGGCTTAGAGCTTGGTGCTGGCTGTGGACACAGGACACACCTGGTCATCTATGCTGCTCCTGCTGTGAGGCTGGTGGGGCCACCTTGGGCAGGGTTAGTGTTGTCACTGTGCTGGGGGAGGCTGCAGGCCCTGCTGTCCTATGGGGGTGCTTTGTGGCCCTCGTTGGACTCCGAGGCCCTATTCTGTATCCCCAAGTCCCATGTTGGTCTCAGGACACCAAGTGAACCAGATCCAGAACTGTGTGCTGCTGTGCCCAAGGACTTGGGGGTGAGAGTGTCAGAAGGGCATCCCGGAGCTGGGATGGTGTAGAGAGAGGGTGAGGCATAGAGACAAGACCAACCCCGGGGAGGATTTCAGAGAATCACTTCCATTTTTATTGTGTCACTACAGCTTATATAGTGCAGATCTAATTTACATAAGGGAGGAGATGGGCAGATAGGGTGTGGGTGGCTTACAGAGATTGGCTGAGGCTGGAGAGTCATCAGTCATTGGGGAATGAGGTGTGCAGTGAGTGTGGCCAGGAAGGCTCTCTACACATGGGTTCTGGGCAGCTTGCATGCCCCTTTTAGTGCCCTAGAGCTCACTATTGAACTTTGGTGTGGTGCACCTTACTTAGCCAGGCTTCTGGAGCACCCACAGGATGGGACGTGGAAGTGGCATCCTGGCATGGGACTGATGTCTGTACTAAAAGTGGGCTTTTGGGGAAGATGCAGGCTCCCATCTGGCAGAGGGAAGGGCTCCCTTTTGGAGAAGAGCCTGACCCTCCTCTCCTGGGTGGCAGGGAAAACCCTCACTCAGGGTGGTCTCTCATGGGGCCAGGCAGGTATTAGCTCCTTTATTCCTTGGTATCCAGAACTCAAGGAGGCAGCATGGGAGTGGGCCAGGACTTCACTCCTTCCCTTCAGAAACTCTCAAGGGAGATTTCATAATCTCTGAAGCCCCTTTGTTAATGCTTTGTATATGGGCACCTCCTTATTGTGTCCACTTTCCTTACCTCCCTGCTTCCTTCCTGTTTCCTACCCCAGGGACACTCCATGTCTGTTTCCTATAGTCCTTAGATGACCTTGGCTCCATTAGCATCAATTTGGAGAGTCTCAGAGCCCCACCCCCAACAGACGTGAGTGACGTGTGGGTCCAGCACCAGCTCAGCAGAGCCTTGGGGCTCAAGGCTGTATTTGGTGCTGGTGCCCTCTTGGGAAACACACAGGCAAGGGACACTATGTGCATGCCTTTCATCTTATCTCATTAGACATTTACCTCCCTCACCTGATACAGGAAGAAAGACTCTAACAATAATTCTGCCAAGGACCCTGCAGTGGTGGGGGAGGACAGAAAAGCTCTGCTTGGCTAGAATCAAGGAAGTATGGAGTGTGGGAAGCCAGCCATAGCCCACTGGCTTTTTGAAAGACAACATTTGTTCCTTTTTAAGGACTGCACATGTTAAACTTGTTTTGCCCTGCACGGGAGAAACACGGACAGCCAAAGATCTGTAGGAGTCAGGTGTTGTTAACTCCATTTTGTTATGTTAAAGATCTGATGTTATCTATAGGAGCAGGTATTGAGGTTACTATGGTAATCCTAGCCCATAATAGTTCGGTCTTTTCCTTTAAAAGGCTGATGCCTGCCTGCAATAAACGTCGCCTTGATCAGATTCTTGTCTTGGCGTCCTTCCTTTCTCTCTGCCCCATCTCCACCCCGCTGCTCTTTCAGGTTTGAGGCACTGCGGCGCAGTGCTCTGCGTCGCCGGTTCGCGACAATGGAGTAGATAAGCCAGGGCCTGTTTCCTGTGTGTGGAGGAAGGAGGCGCTGTACCTCTGCTTCTTCACCCTTACGCTGGGTCTCAGGTCTGCAGCACAGCCTCTTCTGCCCGACACCCTCTTCCACCTGCCGCCCATACTTCCCTTCTACCCCCAGTCCCCAGCCTGGCTGCTCACCCTCAAACACACAGCCGGCACAGCTCTGCAAGACAGCTGCTGCGGGCAGGGAATGGGTGTGGAGAGAGATAGGCCTATGCCTGGGGTAGAGGCAGCACAATGCCCACATGGCCAAGGGCTCTCTCACCGAGGAG